GAAGAAGAAGAAGAAGAAGAAGAAGAAGAAGAAGAAGAAGAAGAAGAAGAAGACAGAAGAAGACAAAAAAAGACAAAAACAACAACACCAACTATACCAACAACATCGTCACCACTTACGCTACTCTGGAATCAAAGAACTTGCTGTCGCTCATCTCCTCTGGCGGTCTCTCTATCAGACCTTTGAATTGCTCCAGTCGTTTCGCTCGGATGTTTGCCTAGGGGATGAACAATCATATTTTGTTTTTCTGTGAGCATTTCATGGCACTTGCAACACAATTAGGTCATTTAAGTGCCGAAGAGTAGAAGTGTGATACCAGATCATGATGGAGACTATAAGTAGACAGACTCTGGGATGGATCCTGAAGAATGGGGGAGAGCAGAATGAGAGAAAGAAACAGCAAAATGAAAGAAAGAAACAACAGAAAGAGAGAAAGAAACAACAGAATGAGAGAAAGAAACAACAGAATGAGAGAAAGAAACAACAGAAAGAGAGAAAAGAAGTACACTAACAAGAGGCATTCTCCAACCACCCACAAACAAGCTTTCGCGTACCTTTAACGTCGGGGTGTACTGCGTGAGCTGGATAGCCTCCCCTGTTTTTGCGTCGATCGTTTTTCCTTCCGCATTCAAAATCAAAGGTGATGGCCTGAAAATGTGTAGAAGAAAAACTGAAACAAATTTGTATCGATGCTTAAACTTACCAGCCCAATTACAAAGTTCTTTCTGCTCAGAGCCTAGTTCTGAAAAATTTGATGCGAAAAATTTGGAGTTTCCCAATATGGTCAAGCATTTTCAAACTTTTGAATATCTCGATAACGACTCTCAATAATCTTACTATTTTAATAGAGAGCAGACAGAACATTTGGTCTCTGACCTCATGGTCTTAGTCTAGTTTTAGCAGAGGTTTTACGGCACTCGCAACTGCATAAGGTCAGAAGATAAGAAATGTTACAAGAGAGTTACAAACATAAAAAAGAAGGAGGAGAGATAAGGACGATAGATGTTTGATAGGAAAGAAGGAGGAGCAAACCCCACCAGAGCACCTGCCAACCATAAGTAACTCAAAACCGCCAAAAATGTCAGATAGAACTTTGCATTTTTTTAAAACCCCCAAAAACACAGCCCCGGAAATTCGGGACAGTTGATAATAAAGCAGCAACAATATAATATATAAAAAGTAAAACAGTCCCAGGATATTCGAGACAGTTGGCGACACCTGCCACAATATATATATATATATATATATATATATATATATAGTAAAACAGTCCCAGGATATTCGAGACAGTTGGCGACACCTGCCACAATATATATATATATATATATATATATATATATATATATATATATATATATATATATATATATATATATATTTATTTATTTTTTAAGAAAAAATAGAAAAACTCTCTGGATATCCAGGATAGTTGGCAAGCCTGCAACAATAAAAAAACACAACCCAAAAACACAGTCCCGGGAAATTCTGGACATTCAGCAAAACTACTATAATTTTTTTTCGTTTTAAAAGTCACAGGAAATTCGGGGAGTCGGCAATCAAAAAAAGAGAAGACAGTCCTGAGAAATTCAAGACATTTAGCAAACCTACAACAATTTTTTTTATAAAGAAGCTGGAAATTCAGGCAGGAAGTTGGCAATCAAAAAAGAAAAACAGTCCTGGGAAATTCCTGCGATGATACAAAATAAAAAACAAAAACACAACAAAACAAAACAAAAAACCCAAAAAAAACCCCAAGAAATTCCGGACACTTAGCAAATCCTCCATAACTTTTGGTTTAAAAATCGCTGGAAATTTGGGCGGGAAGTCAGCAACGATACCAAAAAAAAAAAAAAACCTCACCCAGCGAGAGGCTGTGCCTGCTGCGGTGGTTTCACCACGGGCGTCTGCGAGCCCTGCAGCCCCGGGATGAGCGGTGGTGGGAGCGCTCCGGCCAGCCCGCTGAGCCGCGCCTGGATCTGTGCCTGTAGCTCGGCCGCCCTCTTGGCCTTGCTGAGCGCATCCTCCGCCGGCTGCTGCTGCTGCTGCTGGTTCTGCATCAAGGGCGGCGCTGCCGGCTTCTGACGAGTCGCACAACATTTCATTTTAAACATATATTTCATTTTAAACATATATTTCATTCTAAACATATATTTCATTTTAAACATATATTTCATTTTAAACATATATTTCACTTTTAAACATATATTTATTTTAAACAAAGATTTTTAGGTAAGTGTTTAGTTTTTTAGTAAGAGTTTTATGGCACTGGCAACACAATAAGGTCAATCATATAAGCGCCGAAGAATAGTTGGGGTGTTTGTTTTGTTTTAGTAAGTGTTTTTCAGCACTTGCAACACAATAAGGTCATATAAGTGCCGAAGATTAGAGGTGCTACAAGAGAATAACAAACACAAAAAAGGAGGAGGAAATAAAGACGATGGATGTTTGATAGGACAGAAGAAGCAAACCATACCAGAGTACCCACCAACACCCGACGGTGAAATCAGGCGCTCGTCAAAATAATGAAATCGAAGATATCGGCATTTTTCTTCCAGTTTGACAATATTTTTTTCTAATTTTTGTTTTTTTTGGCTCGAAACCTTTAATAACCATATAAAAAGACATTCCCACATAAATTTGACAGTAAAAAGTTTATTAAAGGCACAAAATATGCAATTTTCCATTTGAAAGGACTCTCAAGCTACTGAAACTACTGAATTTTGGTGGCCATTTTCTCACGAATTTATCACTGAAACCAGGCGACCCCACCTCCTTCAATCGCAAATAGCCGACTTCTATTCAAGATAGGTGGGCACTTTCTAAATTGAAAGCAAGGCAAATGGATAAGCTTTTAGAAGATACCATTAGCTCCACACGCCCAAAAATTGACGAGAATCAGATTCCACAGCGCTGAGACACATTTAATTTTAAACAAAGTTTTTTTGGGGGGGTGAGTGTTTTACAGTCCTTGTAACTGCATAAGGTCATATGAGCCTGCAAATATTTCTTTCAAGTAGTTTCTTCATCTGTTTGTTGGTTAAATAAAAATGAGCGCATGGACACAATAACGGTCATTTTGGTAAGATTTTTATGGCACTGCAACACAAAGAGAAGGAGGAGAGATCAGGACAAAAGGTGTTTGATAAGAAAGAAGGAAGAAACCACACCAGAGCATCCACCAGCCACCTGCATAGTAAGAGTTTTATGGCACTTGCAACACAATTAGGTCATAAAAGTGCTGAAGATTAGAGGTGTTGCAAGAGATGGTTTTCAATGGTAAACATACATACATTATGTAAATGATAATCATAAATACATACATACATAAATATATAATAATAATAATAATAGATAGCATTTGTATAGCGCATATCCCCGCTCAACAGCAGGCTCTATGCGCTTTACACTACATTATTACCCCAGCAGACCATAGAACACTCCGAAACATTCTCAGCTTCCCAGGAAGCATACAGTGCAAGCAGCTGATTAAGCGCTCAAACACTAACAAACTGACAAGATCTTTTGCTGTCTATAGCCGGGTACCCATTCCCACCTGGGTGAAGTGAGGAAAATTCGTGTAAAGTGCCTTTCCCAAGGACACAACGCCGGGCCCCTGACGGGATTCGAACCCACGACCTTGCGGTTGCGAGTCCGAGAGCCTAACCACTAGGCCACCGACGCCACATATACAACACATATACATACATAAATACACAATATTACACCAATGCAGAACAATTTCACAACCATGCCACCGCTGGCCTTCACTGTGCAGCGCCCTTTTTTTCTGAACAGCTAGGGTTGTCGTGTCTTGATTAAGGACACACTCCAGTGACCACCCATCTGATCCCTGTGTCACCGACACTTGTTTGACTAACCTCCCAAGTCTAAACTCACTGCTCACTTAGCCACATGGGTAAAAGTTGGTCAAAACCATTTTGCCTGAAAACTGTCAAACTCATAGCATCTCAACGGGCTTTTAGTATTTAGTTTTAGTAAGCATTTTACGGCACTTGCAACACAATTAGGTCATACAACTGCCGAAGATTAGAGGTGTTACAACTTACAAGAGAGCAACAAACATAAAAAAGAAGAAGAGATAAAGACGATAGTTGTTTGATAGGAAAGAAGGAGCAAACTACACGAGAGCACCCGCCAACTACCCACCCAAGGGTGGCTTTGCCTGAAAAGATAATCGAATCTCTCCCATACGGTCGGCGGCGTAGCACACCATATCGCTCAAACTCGAGCAGCGGAGTTAAAAAGTCAGACTTTTTTTAGACAGTTGTCAAGGCCAACGAAAGAAACCCGTGTTTCACGAGATCGACGCTAGTCTAGTCCAGGACGACCGCTGGCTTTCTCTAGCCGGAATGTCCTGCCACAGCCGGCAAACTTTTCCCCATGCTTAGCCACTAAAAACCCAGCACTAACCGCCAGCACCATGAATCAGTGACTCACCGGGGGTGGGGGGAGCGGGGCTGAGGGGGCAGGGGCCGTGGGCGGGGTGGGCAGCGTGGCCTTGAGCTGGGCTTTCCTCTCCTGGATCATTTTCTGAGCGTTCATCATCATCTCTTGAATCTGAGGACGTAAAAAACAAGAGAAGAATTTTATTTCTTTATTTCTCTACCCATCTGCGTCGCTCGCTCAACAGAAGAGTTAACCACATTTTTTTTCTGCCTTCAGTAAAGAGAGAGAGAGAGAGAGAGAGAGAGAGAGAGAGAGAGAGAGAGAGAGAGAAAAGAGAGAGAGAGAGAAAAGAGAGAGAGAGAGAGAGAGAAAGAGAGAGAGAGAAAAGACAGAGAGAGAGAGACAGAGAGAGAGAGAGAGAGAGACAGAGAGAGAGAGAGAGAGAGACAGAGAGAGAGACAGACAGACAGACAGACAGACAGACAGACAGAGACAAAGAGAGACAGACAGACAGACAGACAGACAGACAGACAGACAGACAGACAGACAGAGACAGAGACAAAGACAAAGAGAGAGCGACAGACAGAGGGAAAAACAGCAGAAACCAAACGTTTTGTTTTGGTAACAGTTTTACACTGCTTGCACTGGCATAAGGTCAAAATATGAGCGCGCAGGAACCCAAATTATAGAAAGTAAACGAAAAAATGTGAATGAGAAACGAATATAAAAACAGGAGAAAAAAGAAGAGAGAGAGAGACAGAAAGAGACAGACACAGAGAGAGAGACAGAGAGAAAAACAGCAGAAACCAAACATTTTGTTTTGGTAACAGTTTCACACTGCTTGCAGTGACATAAGGTCAAAATATGAGCGTGCAGGAAACAAATTACAGAATGTAAACAAAAAAATATGTACGAAAAACGAAAATAAAAACAGGAGAAAAAAGAAGAAGACAATGCACAGTCAACCAACAAACAAACACTGGTCACGCTAACCTTATCCGGGGTCAACTGCGACCCGGGAGGCACCAGGTTGGGCAGTGTGTTCTTGGGCTTAGGGGGCGCCACAGGCTCCACCACGGTCGACATCTCAGTGATCTCAATCTCGTCGATGAAACGCCGGCGCTTCATGTTCTCCTCCATCTCCATATCCTGAAACAAATTAATTTTTTTTTACATTTGATTTTTTTTTAAATTAAAAAAATGGGACTATCTAATTGGGATAATTAATTTGCTGCCTTAGATTAAAATTACACAGTTCCATCTGACATTTCTGGCCTCTCTGAGTTACTACTACCATGAGGTCAGAAACCCAATGTTCTATCTGCTCTATCAAAACCGTAAGGTTATTCAGAGTCGTTATCAAGGTATTCAAAGTACTGCATTAACAAAATCATGACATGTCGCGAAACTAAAAAATTTTTACGTCCCAATTTCTCAAAACTAGGTACAGAGCAGATAGATAGAGCTTTGTAATTCTACGACAGTGAATTATTTAGGACATTTAACATTGCCTCTCAGGACCAACTCGCACCACAGCAGAGCACAGACAACACAAACACAGAAAACTCGAAATCAACCGCAGCATGCATAATTTGCCAGTCCTGATTGTTATGAAATTAAAGGGAGGCGGCACCTCCAAGTTTTAACGCCCATCTCCGAAAGGACCGAGCCAAGAGTGAAATTTGTGTAAAGTGCCTTTCCCGCAATCTCCCGGATCTTAAGAGTCCGGTAGTCTAACCACTAGGCTACTGACGCCACCTTCCTGATTGATATATATATATACTATCACCATTTATGATCCCGGTTTGCTTAAGATCCCGAGGTAGACGACTGGCAGTGTAAGAGATAACGATAACGTTGAGTTATCAGGACAGATAGCTGAAATCCTCATCCAACCTTTTTACTCAGATGTTCTGATATGACGTACAGTTGGCTTGAAATCCTGATCCAACTTTTTCAGGAGGTCACCTTTTTACTGCGATGCACTGTCTTATTTGCAGTGGGGCGCAGATAACTCAAAACATGTCAGGGACTGAAAAATGTGCTGAACAACAACACATCCATTATTCAAGTTAATCATTAACGAAATATTATCATTTTCGGCAGAGACAACTGCATCATAAGGAATATCACGCGTCTTCAACAAGGCAAGGAAAAAAAATATATATATAAATTGAGCATCATCAGAGGAAAACAAAACACTGAGCACCATACAAAAACAAAAAAAAAAAAAGCTTAAAAAAATAAATCATTGAGTGTCATCCGTGAAATACAAAACAAATCATCACCCTGCGTCTTTTCTTGACAGCTCTTCCGCTGTTCCGGAAGTCATCGTACAGGTAATGAACTTTTTCTGCAAGGCTAGCAGCCTGGCCGCTGTCCAAAATCTGCGACAAATTATCTGAAAAGAACAAAAAGGAAACCCAAAGAGAATTATTTTCTACAACTCCACTTGTAAATAAGTCATTTACGCGCGGGGTTTTAAAGCAAAAGTTGAATGGTTCTTGAACGCAATAAGGTCGCATATAAGTGTTGAGGATTAGAGGTTTTTTTAAAGTTTTAGTAAGAGTATTTTATGGCACTTGCAACACAAAAAGGTCATTATATAAGCACCAAAGATTAGGTGTAAAAAGAGAATAACAAACACAAAAAAGAAGAAGGAGAGATTCAAGGATGCAGGATAGATGCTTGACAGTAAAGAAGGAGCAAACCACACCAGAGAACCCGTCAACCGTTAACAAGATTACAGGTGTTACTAGATTTGATATTTCAAAATGATTTATTAATTTGAAAGGCCTTAGAGGTGTTAAGTACTAGACAATCTAGTAACACCTCTAATCATGTTAAGACAGTATAAAAATAGAAGGAGGAGAGATTTATTATAAATAAGGCTAATTGTTGCGTGCGTTCAACTTTCTCGACTAAACAGCCTAATCCAGCTCATAGAAGTATTATGTTTGAAGTACTGTGTGTGCATGTTTGTGTTTGTGCCGCTGAGATTTAACAGTTATAAATCAGGTTGAACTACTTTAAAAGCAACTTTTTCTTCACATGAAAACTAATTAGAGGAAATTTGGAGGTGAATCGGCTTTGTCCCCACCATCAACAGGAATTTAACTAAGAACAAAGAGATGGAAAACGAAGGCAACTCTTCTCATGCCGTGGCTCGCCGTGAGTATAGAAAAATCATCACTGTTTAATCCTTATTGCTTGCTATTTGGTGGTAAAGAACTGGAAGCAACCTAAGACCGACCCAAATTTTGTTCCACCCACCGACACTGGTAGTAGTTAAAAATTTTGTTTCCTTAAAAAAAACACCCTCCCAAAGCTCTGTCAAAGAGACATAGTCTCAACATCACCAAAATGCTGTCTAATGCTATGGTCAAGGCTTACTTACACTTACAATGATAATGTTCTTGCTATTCATGATTCCTGATAGAAACAACGCAACAAAACAAGTTTTTTGTCTGTGTATAAAAAGAATCCAAACAGACTTTAAAGTCGATTGCTTCCGACATCGATGATTATCATCATGATTATGCGTGTCTTCAATCAAACCAATGTTTAATTCTCACAACATTATACTAACCAATGGTCTTCCTTTTGTCGTAACCTTTCCCCAGGCAATTCAGGGCAGTGGTCACAATGGTGGGATCGGTGAAACCCATGAAAGATTTCACCGTCTCGTTCACCAGAGGTTTCAGGTCTTCCAAATCTCGGCTTGACAGGGCCATGGTGAGGACTCCTTGTCAAGATCTGTAGGGAAAAAAGGGTGCATTTTTAGAATACTACAACTGCAATCTCGAAATTTTTAAATTTCTGTCTTAATTGAAACCCTATGGAAAGTCTTTCACTGCGAAAGGGGAATTGTCAGGAAAGAAACTTAAATTTTTTATTATATTTTTTGGTGGTGTTTTACCGCGCTTGCAATAAATAAAGGTCATAAGAGCGCGTGGGACAAATTAAACATTTTTTAGTTGGTGGTAGGAAAGTTGGGATTGGTGTTCTCGTAGCCTAGAGGTTTTAAAAGGTGTTTGCCACTTATTCAAAGGTCCCAGGTTCAAATTCGGGTAGCGACGGAAAGATTTTCTTCTCTAAAATTGTCTCCTACTTTTACCTCCTTTCCCTAGCAATGTTCAGTTGCCTGCTTTCATCTCCACTTTCTGCCCCCACCCCCACTTTACCCCCTCCTCTGGGCTCCTGACTCTTTCTGCAGCCTTTCTACAGAGAGAGAGAGAGAGAGAGAGAGAGAGAGAGAAGAGGGGGCAGTGAGGGAGAGATAAAGAGAGACAGACGAAGAGAAAGAGTGAGATAGAGATATGGAGGGAGAGATGAAAATAGAGAGAGGGATATGGATACCGAGGGAGAAAAAAAAAAAGAGAGAGAGAGAGAGAGAGAGAGAACGGGTGTGTGTGAGGGGAGGGGGCGTGATTGTGATATGTATGAAGCTTTGTACTCTTAACAAAATTCCCACTAGAGGTCCCCCTCTCTGCGCAAAAACCCCACACAATCATCGCCTCCGCCCCCAAATCCCCCGCCCCACCACCTCTCTGATTGTATGAGTCATTCTTCGTCCTTGCAAAAACATCTCTCTCTCTCTCTCTCTCTCTCTCTCTCTCTCTCTCTCTCTCTCTCTCTCTCTTTTA